AAACAGGCTGGGGCCTGTAGGCCCTGTCAGAAGGAAGCTTCCAGGCAAGAGCCTGGAAGTTTCCCTGTAGGGAAACAGGCTGGGGCCTGTAGGCCCTGTCAGAAGGAAGCTTCCAGGCAAGAGCCTGGAAGTTTCCCTGTAAGGAAACAGGCTGGGGCCTGTAGGCCCTGTCAGAAGGAAGCTTCCAGGCAAGAGCCTGGAAGTTTCCCTGTAGGGAAACAGGTTGGGGCCTGTACAGCATGTAACATCTATACTCAAGAGTGGCTCAAAGATATGATGCTCCTCCATTTCCACAACTCTTACTTTCCTCAATATAAGTTCCGGTAGGGAAATTTGCCTCGATGGGTTTCGCCCTAAAAGACTTGTGGTTATTGACGCTCCTCCGTTTCCACAACTCTTACTTTCCTCATTGTTTTCCCCCGATGGGCCTAAAGGACTTGTGGTTGTTGGCGAATCTATGGCCTGATACTAACAAAGATGGAGAATGGTAGGAGAACTGAGAGAATGTTTGAAGGGCTGCCACAATCTGCAAGAGAACTCGAAACAATATCCCGATCATGGTCCTAGAGAACTGGCTCCATCTCCTGAAGGGTTTGTGACGCCCAACCTCACGCCCGACGCGACTTCCTGATCGGAGTGGGATGTGGGCCTGGAAGTGCGAAAAGGGGTGTGCCAAGGATTTTTGGGGAAAATGGGGGTGAAGTCCCAGGTCGGAACTGAGATCTCCTGTGGCAAGGTTCCAGGGGCATAGATGCAATAGGACCAAGGGACGGGTTGCATCTCGTCTGATGGCGGTCAATGTCGTGCAGCATAAGGCAGATGGCCTGCGTGGTGCATCAAGGGCTGTCCGATCCGTCTGTTTTGGTGATGGCGGTTCAGGGGAGGCCCGTTCGTGAGGGTTGCGATTCCTATGAGTCGGACCTTCGGGTGCAGACACGTGGCGTCTGTCGCCGCTCGTTGCGATTGGGTTCCGAAGTTTCAGGGGTTTGGCGGTGGCCGCGCCGTCTGCAGTTTTTGCACGGCGTAGGGGGCCAGTACGGGGTGATGGAATTCCACGGTACCACAGTGAGTTGGTGATACGGGAGGAGGAGACGGAATGGAGGGAAATTGGTAGTGATAACGACGAAGTCGGGGGTTATGAAGTATTGTGTGTTATACGTAGTCGGGTAATCGGGGCACCTTGGATCACTGGTTACAACACAGTGGAATTCC